TTTTGAGTACATGTTTTAAACTTTGTTGTTTATGTTTCTGCAAAGTTATTGTTATAAGTATTTGTTAGTGCAGATTAAATAACAAACGTTAATTGAGTATTCAGGCAAGTGTTCTCTACTAGGATTGTTGAAGGTACAATAAAAAAATCTCTTACAAATCTCTAATTTCATCACCAACAACGTCATTCCTTCACATACAAGCATGAGATTTTTCTGTTCTTTAAAAAATTATCTGAGAGTTAATAACTTTGCATGCCCATATTTTTTGGCTTTTATATTGTAAGTTATCTATTTTTATTAAATTTTATAAGTGGGTATGATGAGTACTTTAAGGATTGAAAGTGGATTGAGGCGTTGGTCAATTTTTTGAGGTATGTTATTCTAGAACATAGGAAGTTTTCTGGTTAGAATGATTTGTTATCATCATTGGATATCTCATACTTTACTCCATTTAATGTATGTTTTTTCTTGCTGTTTTGTTGTCTCCTTAAATTTGTATTTACTATTTTTCGTTTGGTATGTTTATGATCTTACTTGGACAAAGATTTCATCCTTTTAATGTTTTTCTTTTTTCCTTCTCATTCGACTCTTCTAAATATTTTTGGTGTGAGTTATGACTATTTTCGGCAAGCTTAATTTGAAGAATATGAAACAAAACCTACTATAAATAAAAGTAATATTTTAAGCTACAAAATATATGTCTATTAACATAGATTTTTTGGCCTTCATGTCCCATGTCGTTGCTGAGCATTTGAGTTATCTAGGATAGGCCCATCTTTATTTTTTCATGTTCGAGAATATTTCTTTAACATGAGTCTAGAATCCAACGTTTTGATCTACTTGTACTTTCATAATCCAACAATTATACGTACATTTTTATGAACAAGTCGTAAAGTTGCATTGATGAAACATTTAGAAGGGGCTTCAGAGCAGCATTTTAATGAAAAATAAATTTCTAAAAGGGTCATAATATTATTTTGTTGTTGTTTCAAATTTAATTTTCTCCTTCTTTAAAGTTTGTTATCGTAACAAAGTAACAATAACGAAAAGTGTTGAACGTTTGACCTCAGACAAGTAGATTGTCTCTAAAAAAATATTTATGTTGTTGTAATGTACATTTTTTAACAGTCTTAATTTATTTATAACTAATATTGATTCTCAAAAAATGTCACATATTTTTTAACAAGGAGTTATTCTAACCATAAAATTATCAGATTCTATATTTTTCATGTATAAAAAAATAGAAAAAGTGATGCTTCATCGCTACATAAAAATATCACTCAATTTTAACAAGACAATTATATCATCAAACATATATTATGATAAATTTTATAAAAGATAAAAATGATTAGTTATCAAGATATTTTTAATCATTCATTATATATTTACAATTCTTGAGATATGTGATACTGTCAAATCATTTATTTTTTGTTGAAATGTTCTTAAAACCTACTAAAACTTACTTTTTTTTTTCCTTAATTATAATTGTCGATTATTGGAAAGGTTGTTCAAAAGCTTAGAAAGATTATTTATCCCCACACGAAGCGCGGGTAAATTACCTAGTTAATAATAATTCTTACATTCTCCCACTTGGCCCAATGACATATAACATTAATATTTAATAAACATTAGTTGCACATACAATAAATCTCTTCTATAATATCCATCATACATACCACAATATAATAAACTACTAATGCGAGTTATGACGGTTGTACACAAATTTTAAGCTACATACTTCCTTCCATATACTACTACATTAGCAACTTATCATACTAGGTTCATAAGCTATAAAAACATATAACATTATGGTCCACAATAATGTATCATAGAGACTTATCTTGTAATATCTCAAAACAATAATGTATACACCATTATGAGAAACAAGAAATTCATTAATGTATATCAGAAACACATAATTTGAGCTCAGAGTGTAAAAACATCGTGAATGTATCAATCATAAGTACAACCAAGACCCATTCTTTGAACATGTTCTTTAAATGTCTTTGGTTGTAAGCCTTTTGTTAACGGATCTGCAATCATGAGATCGGTTCTAATATTCTCAAGTAACACTCTTTGTTTCTGAACTTCTTCCTTGACAATAAAGTATTTTAATTCCATATGTTTGACACATTTGGAGTACTTATCGTTCTTGGAGAAGAATAATGTTGCAGTATTATCACAATAAATTTTTCAGCGGCTTGGTAATGGCGTCAACAACCCAAAGTCCTGAAATGAAGTTCTACAAACATAATGCATGAATTGTGGCTTCATAACATTCCACAAACTTTCTTTGCACCTTTCCAGTGATCAATTCCGGGATTACTTTTATATCTTCTTAGCATTCTGACCGCAAAACTAATATCTAGTCTTGTGCAAGTTTGAACATACATCAAACCTCTAAGAAGAGTAAGGAATTGATTCCATTTCCTTTCATTCTACATCATTCTTTTGGCATTGCATGAGATTAAATTTGTCCCCTTTTTTAATAGGAATTATTCCTGCTGAACAATTGTTCATGTTAAATCTCTCTAAAAGTCTTTCGATATACCCCATTTGAGACAGTCTCAATAATCCTTGTGATCTATCACAGAATATTTCTATCCCTATCACATAGGATGCCTCACCCATATCTTTCATTTCAAAGTTCATAGACAGAAAGTCTTTCGTCCCACGCAATATGCCTAAATCATTAGCAGCAAGTAAAATATCATCAACATACAGGACTAAAAATATAAACTTACTCCCAGCACCGATCAACGGTAATTTCCTTAAATCCAAAAGATGTTATGGTATCATTAAACTTTATATACCATTGTCGTGAGGCTTGTTTGAGTCCATATATTGACTTCTTTAGCTTACACACCATTTGATCTTTTCCTTTAATTTTGAAACCCACTTGTTGTCCATATAAACATCCTCATTCGAGGTCTCCATTAAAAAAAGACAGTTTTCACATCCATTTGATGTAACTCTAAATCATAATGAGCTACCAAAGCCAAAACAATTCTTAACGAGTCTTTCTTTGAGACCGGTGAAAAGGTCTCTTTATAATCAATTCCTCCTTTTTTGAGTGTATCCCTTGGCAACAGGTTTGGCTTTTTATCGTTCAATATTACCATTAGAATCGTGTTTGGTCTTGAAGACCCATCTACACCCGATTTTTTTAGAACTTTCTGGTAATTGAACAAGATCCCAAACTTTGTTGTATTCCATGGATTTTAACTCTTCATTCATGCCATCAATCCATTTATCAGACCCAGTACTTTCTATGGCTTGTGAAAATGAAATCGGATCTTTAATAATTTCAATGTCAAAATCTGACTCTTGCAAATAAATCACATAATTATCTAAAATGACCGATTTTCTTTATCTTTAAGATTTTCTTAATGGCACTGTTTGCGGTTCATTTGCATCAAATACTAGTGAGTTAATCCCTTGTTGAAGTGTTTCACCCAAATATTGTTCAACATTGTTAAATGTTCTTCAACAAGAGGAACAACATTAATTTGTTATGGGTGTGGAAGTAGGTACATTCATGGGCAATGAAATATTTACCCCACCTCATTAATTTCCACACTTTGTCGTTCAACACTCCCACTAACTTCGCCATTCTTAATGAATTTCGCATTACCGGTTTCAACAATTTTTTAACTATGATTTAGACAGTAAAACCTATACCCTTTAGATTTCTCTAGATAACTTATAAAGTAATCACTTACTGTTCGAGAATCTAATTTCTTTTCATGTGGATTTATACTCTAGCTTCAGCTTGACAACTCCAAACATGCAGGTGTCTTAAACTAGGCTTCCTTCTGGTCCACAGTTCAAACGGGGTCTTTGGAACTGCCTTACTAGGAATAATGTTCAATAAATATACAGTTGTTTTAAGAGCATACATCCACAATGATTTGGGTAATGAGGAATTACTCATCATACTCCTAACCTTATCCATAAGTGTTCGATTACGCCTTTCTGCAACACCATTTTGTTGAGGTGTTCCTGGCATAGTATATTGTGCACATATGCCATGTTATTAGAGGAATTTTGCAAATGGACCTGGACATTGTCCTGATTCGTTATACTTTCCATAACATTCACCACCTCTATCTATTCTAATGATTTTCACTTTCTTATCTAATTGTCTTTCAACCTCATTAACATACACTTTAAGAGCGTCCGCTGCTTGAGAATTTTCTTTCAACAAATAGATAAATTCATAACATAAAAAATCATCGATAAAGGTGATAAAATATTTTTCTCCACCTAAAAATGGAACATCAAAGGATCCACAAATATCAGTGTGTATAATTTCAAGAAGTTGAGTGCTCCTTGTGGCACCTTTCTTGGTATGTTTGGTTTCCTTTCCTTTAATGCAATCCAAACTATATCAAGATCGGCAAAATTCAAATTTGGAAGAATTTCATTCTTTACTAATCTTAATAATAGTCTTTGGATACATGACCCAAACGTTTATGCCACAAATAAGCAAAACTTTCATTTAGTGAACTACATTTTAATTCCAATATTTTGATGAATAGTAAATAGGGATTCAGAAAAATTATTATCGAGTTTCAATCTATATAAACAATCAATAAGAACACCAGAAGCATAAAAAATAGTATTCTTATATAAATTGAAACATCCATGTCCAAACTTCAAATCAAATCCAGAAACATCAAGTCTTGAAAGAGAAATCAAATTCCTAGAAACAGACGGAACATAAATAGTCTGTAATAGATCAAGGTGATGTCCAGTATCCAAGAACAATTGATAAGTTTCTATGCCTTCAATTTAAGCCTTCATGCGATTTTCCATGAACAAGAAATCCTTATTTGGATTTGTAGTTTGGATCGTAGTGAATCCCTTCAACATAGTGGATACATGAGTAGTTGCACCAGAATCAAGCCACCAAGTAATTTTAGGAATTTCTACTAAATTTGATTTGAAACATACAAAAGTACTAAATGTACCATTCTTTTCAAACCAAGCTTTACGTTTCAGGCAATCTTTCTGATAGTGTCCTTCCTTTTTACAGAAACGACACACATCAGACCTCCTTGTTTCTTAAGTCTTGACTCCTCTTGAGTAAGCATACTTGACAATTCACTAACATCCCCCTTATCTTTAATAGTGTTATGGTTAATTTGGAATGGTCCATACACAAGAGGCAATGAGTTCATAATAAACTGAACCAAGAAGGTGTCATCCACTTTCATCCCCAAGGTCCGAAGTCTTGTTGCATTGTTAATCATCTCAATTATATGATTTTGTATACTACGCGACCCATCAAACTTCATGGTCGAGAGTTCAACCATTAGTGTACCAGCGAGAGACTTATCAGCAAAATGAAAATGTTCGTACACAAACTTCAGGTATTCCCTGGCACTTTCTGTTTGTTGAATAGTACTCTTAATGTTGTTAGCAACAGTCATTCGCATGAACATAAGGCTCAACATGTTAGAGTGCTCCCATGATTTATGAAAAGACTTCTCATCCTCACTACTCTTATCAGTAATGGCAGTAGGTTTGTCATTCAGTAGAGACAAATCAAGATCCATCACACCTAAGTGGAACTGGACTTGTTCATGCCATTCAGAGAAGTTCAATCCATTGTACACAATAACAGACAAAGCATGCGAATGAAGAGGAATAACTACAAAATAGATATACTTGCTCACAAAATCAGAAAATAATGTGAATTCAGTAAATCGATAAAATATATCGCAATTCTCCTTTGGGTAGATACTACGACACATTATCATAATTTAAATATCATTTTTATCTTTAATAGGTGATTCTAATATTTTTAATCAAACATATACGACATCTTTGGTTATACAATATATGTTTGACTAAAATATTAATTCACCTCATAATTTTCACTATTCGTACAATGATGGATTCACGTTTGGGCAAATTCTTAAGTTGTAGCAATAGTGAAAGGCAATTTATCTATTTATATTTCAATATATAGGCATTTAATTAACCTTCATAGGTAAATGACAATTTTATGAGTGCATATTTCTCTTAACCATACTAGTTTGGTCACTTTGGTGTCTAACAAGCTATATGAATACAAATGGATAGATAATCTCATAAAAATTTGTGCATGTGAATAATTTTAAACATTTTAGTTTGGCTACTTTGGTGACTAACAAACTATAGAAACATAATACATGCATCAAGTGATCATAAATATTATATATTTAGACGCTAATTTCTCTAGTTTGGTCACTTTGGTGACTAACAAACTATATAAATACAAATGCATACATAATATCATAAAACTTTGTGCATGTGAATAATTTTATACATTTTAGTTTGGCCAGTTTGGTGACTAACAAACTATAGAAACATAATACATGCATCAGGTTGAAAAACCAGACCCAATCTCTCTTGGAATACTGAATGTGTCAATAAATAAAGAATTGTACTAATCCACATATGTCAAGTGATCATAAATATTATATGTGTAGACGTTAATTTCTCTAGTTTGGCCACTTTGGTGACTAACAAATTATATTGCACTAACTATACACATATTATTTATTGCTTAGTATAACGATCACTTTAATTTGTTACACCATAAAAGCAAAACATAATTATTACATTATAGGAAAAAATATTTAAGAATTTTCAAAATATGTCCAAATTAAACTTTAGCACTTTATTAACTTGATATGGTGCATTGCAGAGCGGTATTATTGGCAATAATTAAATTCACAATCTAAATAAGTGTAAATTTTGAGCAATTGTATAAAGGTCCCTTACATTGATGACATATCTGTTTGGGTGGGACTAATTTTGATTCGGTCAGAAAAATCTACTTTAGAGGTAAGTGGGTAACTTCTTTTATGGGATAATTGTACATAATGAAAAACTTTTAATGCAAAATAAATACAGTAGCTACCATTTCATTTATTTTCTTTAAGGAGCAAAGTCTCGGTCAGTTTGCTATTAATGGGCCCACCGATTTGTATAAGTTAAAAAAAAAGTTGATGTTATTCTCTTCCTTTTATACAATATCTTCTTCTCGTTTATATCTCTTATTTCCTTCAATTTCTCCCAAATTTTCTCCCCAAAATTAGTTTGAAATTTCAAATCTCCACCAGCACGTTCTCAATAGCGGTTTCAAAATTCCTTCAAATATTTCAGGTACCGCCAAAACTTATCTCAATCAATTACTTTAAATTTTTGTCTATTTTGTTTCAGTTTTTTCAAGCTATTGTTCACATCAGTTCATAATCCATACAGAGTTTTCCTTCAAACAATGGATGCCCAATCTCCATCTAAAAGATTCACAAGAGGTATACCATTGCATGTCGAAAATAGTGTTGAACGCCCATCTTTTTCCTTGGGTTTAACTCAAGATTTTGGGGAGGTTTCAGGTTCAATGTCCAAATCCAACACAATGCAAGAGATCAAATCCAAATTGAAAAATAACCCAATCAGATTGGAGGGAATGAGTGCAAAATCGAAGAAATCCAACATCAAAATTGTGGAGGGAGGTAAGAAAGATCAGTCTTCTGCTGGGTCAAGTAAAAAAAGGAAAGAAAAAACAACTAATTATACAGAAGAGAATGCAAAAAAGAAAGGAAGTTGTTGTTTCTGGTTTATTGGAGCATGATGAGGTATTTGTATAATCATTATTTTTGTATATGTTATGATTTTATATTTTTCTTATATTTTCTGTGTTGATTCATGTTTTATAACTGTTTGTTTATACAGTTTTATATAGTCACTATGTTAATATCCAAAGTTAAGTGTATAAAATAGAACTATTTAACTATACATACAAGGTAAACAATTATACATTTGAAATTGGTTGTATAATGTATAATATATATACAGTATAAACATTTATACAGTTTTGTGCATTGTTTTATGTATAAGTTTTTTTCATTTGTATAAGGATTCTATTTGTATAATCTTCCTTTAGACATATACAATTCCACAAACTTATACACATACATAAATGGTTTGTATTTCACAATATATACAATGTAAACAATTATGTATTTGAATTTATTTGTATAAGTATAATATCAATAGTTATTGTATTCGTAGCGGTACAACAATTTGTCTATATATACAATATAAATATTTATACAGTTGAAATTAGTTTGTATAATGTATTTTTTCTTTATAAAACTTGTATATGTTATTTTCATTTAAAAGCTATTTCATACATTTTGATATCTGTACTTGTGTCTTAATTATGTATACGTGTGTATTTTTAGTAAAATTATACATGCATTTTTTCAGGCTGTTAAGTTTTTAGGAAAAAGAGAACCAACACGCATACCTCACATGCAGTGTTACACAAATATTGAAGTAATGAAAGTGTTAGCTACAAAGCTTACTAGTTCACAGTATAAAGAATTTTGTGGAACAACATGTTTTGCCCAATTATCTAGCATTCGTAGGTGTCATGTTCAAGCACAACTGATTAGGTGCATGTTTTTGAGAGAAATTGAGGGTAGCTCAAAAGATGCAATCCTGATACAAGTGAATGGCACCACTTTGCGATTCACCATTCGTGACTTTGCTATAATAACTGGGTTAAAATGTTCAGACAATGAGAAGGATTTTGTCTTTAATACCGAAGAACCAAACAAAATTATTCTTCAATATTTTGGAGTCGAAAAAGCCATCACCAAGAGTCAGTTGGTTGAAAAGTTTGATAATAAGGTTTGGGGGGATAATGATGATGATGCGGTGAAGTTTGCTATATTGTTCTATATACATTCATTCATCCTTTCCGAAGAACCAACCAGTACTGTTATTGATAGGAAAGACTTTGATTTGGTTGAATCGGGCAGATACATTGACTACCCATGGGGTAAAAAGGCTTTTGACCTTCTGATTCTGCATTTGCACACTAAGATCAAACACGATGGGAAGTATTTCAAGTTGTATGGTTTCCCACTTGCTTTGCAAGTGTGGTTTTATGAATGTTGTTCGAATTTTGATGAGGAAATTGTTGTTAAGGTATCTCATCACATCCCTAGGATACTTAACTGGAAGACAAAAAAAGATTTCCCTCGTCTAAGCTATTTTGCTAAGGGCATGTTCAGAGACGACAACAATCTGATACGCACTGTATAATTTTATGTATAATATATTATCTGTATAAATATAGTATAGATATATAACTGTATAAATAAACAAATGTATAAATATATGTATCAGTTTGTGCTATAGAAAACTATATGTATAAATTTGCTCCATGTATTATTATTTATACAAGTTTTTGACAATGTATAAATATACCTATAAGTATGTGAACTTTATAAACATAAGCTCATTTGTATATAGAAGCTTATAAATTGTATAATTATACATATAAGTTTGTCTAATGTATATATATATAAACTGTATATATGTTTTTACATTTGATTAAGTAAACATTTTGTATAATGAATATGTCAATATGAACATGTCTATATTTTGCAGCTTGTTTTTAAGAATATAACTCCAACTCCAATGGAACTCAAGATTCTTGAATTACCTCCTGAGTATGTTCAATCAGATTCATCTCCAACAGAAACAGCAACTGCAAATACTTCGGACGATGATTTTCAGGATCCTCCATGTCCAATAAATAACAAGGGAAAAAAAAAGTTGATACTTGTTTGTCGCCTCCTAAGAAGAAATCAAGGCAGACAGTCACTCCTATTCAGAACAAGACAACACCTAGGGTCATTTCAAAGCAGCCTTGTTTAATAAAGTCTCCCCGACGTGCCAATGTTGCAAAAAGACCTAAGTCACCACTTCCAAAGAGGCAGGCCACTTATTGTTGTGTCAAGTAAAAAAAGGAAAGAAAAACTTACATTTATACATATCACAATGATAAACTGAAGTTGTTGTTTGTGGGTCATTGGACTGTATAATCATGTTTTATATTGAGTGTATAAATATACATTTGTTAGGATTATACAATTTGTTCATAAAGTTTAATTATACAAATCAACTTATACAATGTTTGTTTATACACTAACAGTATAAATCTAAGAGTACATTTATGTTGAATATATACATCTACATTGTTAGGCTTATAGGATGTTCATAAAGTATAAGTATACAAACCACTTAACTAACAACATATATTTACAGATTAACGGTATAAATGTCAAAAGTTTATACAATCTTTAATTCCCTTAATTCATTATGAATATACATTTTCTGTTCAAAAAGGGAAAATCAATATAACTAATACAAATATAATAAAATGTTCAATTTAACTTATACATATAGAATTTCTGTATATGATGTACAATATATACGCCAACGATAATTCATATTATATACAAGAGCATGAACACAAAATAAAGATAAAAAAGATCACAATTAATAGGACATAATAATTTTATTCCATCATCAACATTCCAACTCATACAGTTTAAACATAGAACCAGTTTAGAATAACATTCAAGTATCTATAAAATCGAATTTTACACTCAAATATAATCGAAAAAGCTTATTAAACTTCTTGAGGTCTGTTTCTACATGAACGTCTATTGTGACCTGCAACTCCACATGTGCTACACGTATGCTTCCCTTTAAGACCAAGCAATTCACGTTTTGTTTTTGAACGGGGTTTATTTTTTGGCCTTCCTGGAGGTCTTTTGAATTTTGGAGGCCGGACTTCATCATACATTATGTATTCAAGTATCACCCATTCTGCTACATCAGGCAATGGATAAATTGGTATCTCATAAATCTTCAAAACCGCCTTTGGTTTATACAAATCCGA